TCCGCGCCCTGCAGCGACGGGGGCGGCGGAGTCCACACGTCCTGTGCGTGGATTTTCGGTGAAAGTACCTCAAATCGGCAGAAAAGGAGCGATAGCTCCAAGCTGTTGTTGGTCAGATAAGAGCTGAGGGCAGCTGGGTTGCAGTGAGCGCGGTCGGCCCTTGGGGTGCTTAACCGAGGCGTGCGCGGTGCCGGTTGCTCGTCCTGGCGCCCCGCCGCCCAAGGCAGGCTGCAGCCCGGGGTGGAGGGGGGCCGGGCCGGAGCTGGCTGCTGGCGGGTTCCCGGGCTTCTGTGAGAGGCCTTGCCAAGCCCGGGGGCTAACCAGGGAGGGCAATACATAGAGGAGGAATTAGCGTGTAAAACTGTTGGTTTCTACACAACTGCGATTTTATTATCATCATTCCAAATGCTTTATTTGAAAATATTACTAAGATAAAAAAAGTTTGATCCTGTGCTTGGATGCAGGTACCTGTCTGTTGCAGGCACTGACAGCTGTCAGAAGGTGGCTCCAAATCACGCTTCTGTTTAGGTACTGGCATGTGGATTTTATCTGTCAATTTCTGTCATTTATAAAACCATAGTCTTTGGAAAAGCTGTGATTTAACAGCTGATTGCTTAGTATAAACTTTCATCTTAGGAAAGGGTGTTTTTTTGCCCCTACCCCCTTTCTCTAAGCTATTTTGTTCTATCCCTTTCTAGTTCTTTATATGCTGCGTAGCCGCATAATGCAAGTAAAACATTTATCCACAGGGTCACTTCAATGGCACTGTAAAACTGCGTGGTGTAAAATCGTATAACCACACAAATATTTTAGAATCAAAACGAACTGGGGATTGGTGAAGAATTGGGGATTGGTGGAAAAAACCCAACAAATTTCGTGTTTTCTTTGCAGGAAATTGCTGTATACAAATCTACCTCAGCTTTTTGATAAGCAGACATGGTGAGAACAATAGCACGTTTTATATATTTTCATTCTTTCTGAAATGGTCATCTCTTGGAAAGTGAATAGCTGCTCTGCATCTCAAAGGATTACACATTTTACGCTGATGCTATGAAGAATTTGTAATGAAAAGTTTAGGTTTTCATTTCAGACTTCTGAAAAGATATTGTGAAAAGGAAAATAGGTCAGTTTACATCAGTCTAAAATATAATCAGACTTTCAGCTCTAAGATCCTAAATTCTAATCCTACTTTGGCTAATATTTGGTAATCTAGTTTGGTTTCTTTTACCACAGAAGCATTATTCAAGTTGCAAGCACATAGCCCTGCTTGAGTGTATGTAACCTTCTATACTTGCAGGCTTTTAAAAGTTTAGCAGATCAGGAAATAAGAGAGAAGACTGTGTGTCTTAAACTGTACATACATCTTTTATAGCATCTTCATGGACATTGCAGGCAACTATCTTCTCTTCTTTACTTGTATACTTCTGGAACAGTATGCCAGTATCAACATGATGCTGATTTTTATTAGTTTTCCTGTACACTTATCCCCAGTGTAGCCCCAGAGTAATTGTTTTTACATAGTTTAGCACTTTCCATGGGAGCGCTGTGATATATTGGGCCTATAGAGATATATTTGCTTAGGTGGCTGAGTAACTGCCATTTTAAATTTTATGGAGGTTATTTATAAATTCTTAAGAAAAGTGTGTAATTTCGTAGATTTACTTGTTTGTGAAGGCAGATTATATACGGGGCCATTCAGAACTAGCTTTATCACTCAGAAGGCTGCAGGCAGGTAACACACATCAGTTGTTCCTCTGGTTGTAAACCAGTGAAGTATGTGGACCGCACTATCATCTGAAATAGATAATAACCTTGATTCTTCAACTTTGCAATTAAGTGACTGAGTAGGTCCAGTTTGCAAATGAATAATGTATCTCTGGAGTGTAACAGCATGAAACAGAGCTTCTGCATTACCATGGTGAACTTGATTTGTCCTGAAACTAAATGAAACCAAGTGTTTTCTGGTGATTTCACTGGAAATGTGGAAGTTCTGTGACAGTAGCCTTTCCTATGGCCAAATATTGAAACAATGGTTATGTGCAGTGGGAACTTGCTTATGTTCTTGGTGAGACTGGGAAATAAAACTGAGTCTGTTAGTATTTCATTGCTGATTTAATTATTATTTTCTGCCTCTTGCTCAGGCTGTCACGCTGCATACTGATGTAGGAGATATTAAAATTGAACTATTCTGTGAGCGTACACCAAAGACTTGTGAAGTAAGTTAAGTAACAGGAGCGGGATTGCCTAGTGTTGAAACAAAGCAGTAGAAATAGTGAAGACTGTAGAGGAGGTGAAGTGGCTTTTGCAATTCATCTTTTCACATAATGGAATACTAACATTTTAAGCTGGTACAGTGCCTATTCCACTTGTGGAACGTGTACTGTATACTTGTGCACTGTGTCTTACTGCCTAGAGCTTTGCTGCCTGTTTCTCACCAGATAAGGTTTAGCTAAAGGCTGCTTCTCTCCAAGTTCTAGCATCTCCCAAAGTGTCCTTTGCCCTTAAGGGGAAATATGGCACATGGCCTGGGATTCGCAAATTTCCCCGGGTTCGCTCACACTCGCACAGATTTAATTTTAATTTAAAAGAGTGAAAATCACTCCCAGTTTGTCAGAGGCCCCAGGTTTTCCTTTCTGCAATAAACTTAAGCTTAAATTGAAATAATTTACTTTTTAACTAACAAAGCTGAGGCATGAAGTTATTGATTACAAAGTTACATTTACAAAATAAAAATGTTGAATGGAAGTGATACTTCTGAGCGTGCCTCAGGCTTGTTATTTGTTCCTCAAGTCAGACAACCTTGTGCTGTAAGCTTTATTTAAAATCCTTTGTATCTGTGACAGTGTCAAAGGAGCATAGTAACTATAATTTGTTTCTGACTATTCTGTGGCAATACTCTGTGGAATTCAAATGGTCACAATGCAAAGCAGAGGCAAAAGGGTTAGTCTTGGTCCTGCCAATGCTGTCATTTTAGTAAGAGGATACTATTTCTGAATTGTTTGTTAATATGGTTTGTTTCATTTCCTTAGAATTTCCTGGCTCTTTGTGCTAGTAACTACTACAATGGCTGCATATTTCACCGGAATATAAAGAGCTTCATGGTTCAGACAGGGGATCCATTAGGTAAATTCTTCTGTCAGGGTCTCTCTATAGAAAAATGTACATAAAAATAAAATATAAATAAAATATCAAGAAATATAAAGAAAATATAAGTATGAATATGAAAACAAAAATGTAAATAAAGTAAAAATAAAATATAAGAATTGTTGTGTTGTTGATAGAGGTTTTTATGATGAGATTAGTTTTCTGTGGTGAGCTTACAGAAGAGCAGCCGTTACCCTAGTTCTAAATAATCATGCGGTAGTAAAGCATTCTACAAACTTTAGTTTTTCCAGCTGTTTCCACTAAATATGATGGTTCTGCTGACTTACCAGCTGTTGAACAGGTAGCAGTTGCTACTGTGGTTTCTCTGGTTTCTGCTTCAAAGGCTACACTGCCTCTAAAGCATTTGGGGAAAATGTCCCAGACAGTGTCAACTGTTTGGGAGAAAACCTGATTCAACTGTGTGTCTCTTTGCACTCATACTGAATTTAATTTAAGGATATGTCAGTGTTTTGTTCTGCTACTTCTTTATAGAGAGTTGTGTCTCTGCTCAGTATCAAGACATGAGAACCCGATCCCTGCCTCAAATGAATTACAGTCTGTCTAGGGCCTTTGTTGTTAAACGTTATAACAGTACATAATTTCTGGATTTTTCAGTCTGAAAATCCAGTAATCTATTGTGGTGCTTCTTTGTCAGGCACTGGGAAAGGAGGTAACAGCATCTGGGGCAAGAAGTTTGAAGATGAATTCAGTGAATACCTAAAGGTATTTCTGTGCTCTCAATATGCAGTTATGTTTTCATATGAATTTTCTTTACAGGTTGGAGAACGATCAGCATTGTGTTGTACTGTATTAAATACCTCTTTTGTAATTGTGAAGCAAAGTATAATCCCGCAATAAAGGGATAGAAAGCTTATTATTAAAATACGAACAGGCATTTCTGTACTTGGCAAGTTAGGTTTGAGGGTTTTCATCCCTGAGAACAGAAGTAGAAAGAATTTGTAACAAAGTATTTTTTTCATGCACTGAAGGCAAAGAAGTAATTTTTCATTGTAAGAGCAATTTTGAGGAGCTAATTATGGACTGTGATGGAATATATTAGCACCCAAGATTTGTTCTTAATAATGGTATTGAGGCAGAGTACTAAGTCACAGAGCACTTTGTACAGGTTAAAATCCTGCTTTCACAGATGTGTATTCATGTTGAGGTTTTTCTCCTCTTTCAGCACAGTGTCCGTGGGGTAGTTTCAATGGCAAACAATGGTCCAAATACCAATGGATCTCAGTTCTTCATCACTTACGGCAAGCAACCGCACCTAGATATGAAGTACACTGTCTTTGGGAAGTGAGTGATCCAACTGCATGTCTCCTTATCATAGTGTCTGAAGGATCTGAATATTTCAGGGCACATGCAATGCAAGTTTAGAAGCTTCTGGTTCTAAAACTCTTTAAAATATTGGATGTGTATATGTAAATGTATGCTCTTGCACTGTCACCAGAATTAGTTGCTCCAAAATGCTGC